TTGCATGCTCTTCATTTTCTTCATCACTTTCTTCGTCAAATTTTCGCTTTCGTATTGTCAAAAATATTGACCATCGATCTATTAAATCATCTAATAATGTTTCAAAATCAACTGTATTTGATTTATCTCTATTTTTTTTCTTTTGTCGAACTAATATCCATTCACCATTTTCTATCTCTGATAGATCTGTTCTATTATGAATGGACACATTTCCGATTCCAACTTTTGCACTCTCAAGTGTTCTTTTAACTTGTGTAGTTGTTTTCGGTGTTATCATATTAATACAAACATTATGTTGCTTTTCTAATGATGCAATATAACCATTATGACCAATAAATCGGCCACGTTGCAGTTTTTTTGCAACTTCAAGTGATGCATCAGTGTTTGATTTGTTTTCAAATTTATATGGTAAAAAAAGAAATTTTCCACTTTTAAGTGGTTTTGTTAGTTTAGTTTTATCTGTACATAATGGAGAACCAATATCCATTTTAGAATCTTCGGACTTTGATTTAGTTTCATGAGTAATTTCATTATCAACTGTTGATGTTGATAATATATTTGTATCTAAAATTCGATATTCTTTTATAAAATTTTTTAATCGATTTAATGATAAAATAAGTTTTGGATCGGATCTTTCATCTCGATCTATTTGATCAATAAGATTTTCTAAACTGATCAATTTATTTTCGTCATCAATAACAACTGTTGTTAATGCTTGATTGTCAAAATTGTTACATGTACAACATTGACGAGATATATTTCGTAATTTACATGCCGGAATACGATTTTCATTTCGAAGTTCATTAACAACAGCATGAAATAGATAACGATAATATGAGTTGTGAGTTAAACAAGCCATTATGTTTGGCGAAAAAGATGAATGAAAAAAAAAACGAAGAGAACTGTTCTTTATATATGGAAAAAATTGCGAAATAACACAATATTACACCATCATGTGGGATGTAAGCAGAAAGAATGAATATGAGTCATGATATTTTTCTTGTCTCAGGTGGAAAAAACCAACTTGGTAGTAAAATAATAAGCATACATTTCTTAACAAATATTATTACGAAAATGGATAAATATTGGATTGTTTTGATTGATATATAATTTTACAAAGAATTCAGAATATTTATATTTTCTATTTACAAATAAAATTTATTACTCATTAAGCTATTAGAAATGATTCGCTAAGGTAATTTACAAAGCACATGTCCATTGACGAGTATCGATTACTTCACCTATGGATATATTCATGATAGTTTTCAATGTAAGAGAATTTCCTTCTACGGGCATTTGTTCTCTAGAAACATAATTAATTTTCCTCTTCATACCTCTAGTTTTACTTTTTTGCAGAGAAATAAATTAATTTATGGTCTCTCTTATCAAGCTCACGTTCATTCTCGAACAAAATAGTATGTATAAATTTTAAATCAAAGTTTTGTGGATCTGTCACTTCTCCATTATAGATCTTAACTATCGAGAAGAACAATGCCAGACTTCTTTCCCAGAGTTTGTTACCAACAGAAAAAACTATTAATGCATTATCTGTGAGATAATAATATGAAACACGATGTAATTGAACCTTACATCGACAGGAGCAGAGTGTAGGTGTTGGTGAAGGGGGCATGCACATCCACATCACTCCCCACCTTTTAATGAAAAGCGTATGGGTGTGGGCGTGGGGTTGAAAAAGAGACACTTTTTATTTACCGACTGAAAACTTACGCATGATCAATGCATATCTATATGAAATGTTTCTTGAATCTTAAAATATGAATTTTC